CAACACATAACAAAGTTCTCAGAGTAAAAAAAGAAAAAGTCATTACAGATTTGTAAAGTACAAAGAGCCCAATGTATTACTTTTCCACAGATTTTATGAGTATTAGCCTTGAAATTTTCCCTTCATACAGGAGATGCCAGTCCTACACCACTACTATTTTTTTTTACCACCACTATTTGAACGGAAGCCCTCATCTTACTCAGCATGAGCTGTTTGGTTGCATTCAGAGGAATAAATCTGACAGGATAACATCTTCCCTGTAGACTATGGTGAAATTACTGTATATTAACATCTGGAATTACTTTATATTTTCAGTAAAATCCTACATTTTCTTTCTGATTCATTAGACAGGAAAATAAAATGAAAAAATGAACTCTGGGAGTGTCTTCTCTATTCTCTATTCTTCTCTCTCTCTCTCTCTTTTTTTGTTTTTAATGTAATAAGAAATATACCTCTTGTCTCTCTTCTTTCTCTACCAACAGCCTTTTTGTGGTACTCATTTGGTCATTTCTAAAATAAATATAGACAAAAACAATGACTTTTAATCTTTGCCATTATAAAGGAATATCAGACTGACAGGCTTTCAGGCCAAAGTTCTTTTTTTTTTCAGTTTCAGAAATGGTTTTGTTTATTAAACTATATTAATTGCTTGTTTCAAGCCAGCAGTTGAAGGACTGTAACATCTCCACTTTCACTCCTGTCCAGTGCTGCCATGCAAGAAAATATAGTTTTGCTGCAGGATAAGATAAATTCTTTTTAGTAGATGTTGTTGAGGGTCTAAGTCACCTTATTCCACAGAACAAAGGTTTTTGATCTACCACAACTATTATTTGATAGATACTAAACAAATAACAATACAAAAAAAAAAAAAAGGAACCACATACTAATTATGAACTACTTTGTAGAGCAAACTATAGATGGTAGTATGGTCCAATCTTTAGCCTTTCTAGAATACCAGGTTAAGTGCAGGGCTTATATTTAGGCTATTTATCCATCTGCAAGCAAACTGAGAACAGCAACTCATGTGAAGTTTGACTCTTGAGCTAGGTTTCACAAGCCCTATATTTTCTCTCCCTTAACCAACCTGTGTAAAGTCAATCCTACTTCCAAATTACTTTTAAAGACAATTCTTTTGTTAAATTCTGTACCCATAGACATTCTGCTGTCCCTAAATCACCACAGGGTCTGAAAACAGCATTTCTGGACAATATTAGCCAAGTGCTCAAGGATAAGCTCACTGTTTCCTATGTCTTGCGCTATAGCATCAGCCTTTCAAATTGATCAAGCTCAGAGTGAACTTGCAGCAACTTCCCTTACAGACGGAGGCATTTATAATTTGTTATTGTTATTGTTAAAATAACCAAGGTTTTGAAGGCAGGAAAAACACGTATGGAATGAGGTTTCTGAAACACAAGCAAGCCAAAGCCACCAAAAATAAGTCTGTCTGGTCTGGAAAACAAAATTCTTAATCTGTCTCAGTTCGTTCTCTCTGTTACAGCTATCCCTGAAGCAGTACAAACTCACCTTGGCACTTAGCCACAAGTGCCAACCACGCAGTAGCTAAACCCGAAGTCTTAATATTGTTCACTCACCAAATTGTAAAACATTAGAGGAATAAGATTGCATCCTATTGTATCCCTCTTCAAAGCAAATATACAGAGAAGCCAAAATTTAGAATTTAAACTGCACAAACATGACTCTCATTGACTTCAATGAATGTTTCCCAGATTTACATAAGCAAAAATGCAGAAAACCGTGACTTCTACTGATACTTGCTAGACCTTTTCAGGGGATTAGAATACAAATGAGACTGATGAAAATGAGCATTCAAAACTTGGCAAAGCTTCAGACCATTAAAGTCCTTCCAAATACTTATGAGCAACCTTTCTTGGAAATTTTTTGGTTTTTCTCTGTAAATATTTGCCAGGATCTCATTCGCCAACAAATCAAACTACATTATATCAAAGTAATTATGTTAGGGAACCACAGAGCAGCACCTGAGAGAAACTTTGAATGCACAATACTGTCCTTTTTCTTCTCTTACGTCAAAACTGTACAAAATAGCAATTACAGGGAAACCATGGGAAATTAACAGATTGTGAGCTTTTCTGTGAAGGATCCCACACAGGATATTTACTTGGCCAGCAGATAACAATGAAGAGAGAACTCAAGACATGTGAGTCCTCTCTAAGAAAGGCTTTCTCTCCCCTCCATTCCTCAGCTTCAAGGAAAAAGAATTAAAAAAAAAAAAAAAAAGAATGATGGATGAAATATTTGACCCGAACATACATTCCTTGGCCTACACAGGCCTTTGATGGATTGGTTTGAGAGTAAATGTGTACCATACAATTTTCCTTGACTAGAAGGAAATGCCAGACATCTACACAACAATCAAATGTTCAGTGAAATTTGCTGCCCCTACTAAATGAGTCTGTATATTTGATCCTCTTCGGGGAAGCTGAAGTGTCAAAGGCGTCACAGCTTTTGAGCTGTCAATTGTAAAACAGAAGCCATTAAGAACTCAGCATTCACCTGGCAGATCTTATCAGACATACTGCCTTTATTTCTTATTCTAAACATTGAGAACTACTAAGGCATTGCCAGATACAAACATCTCTTGATGCTCATTTCATACTGATACAACAGTGTTGATTATAACTTTCAAATAGTCTATGCACATACCAATATATCATATTAGTCTTCCCCCCTTTTTTCTTATCAAGTTAGCAACTTTGAAAACTAAAAATCCACCATAACATAAAGTATTGCAATCATTATAATGACTTTAAAAATATGAGAAGAATAGGTTACTGTTTGTTACTTACAGTTGATAAAATCTATTTGAGTTCAAGATATTAAGAGAACATGTGAAGCACACGGTTGTGCAAAGACACACAAGTGTAACATTTTTGCTATTTTGTAAAAAAGCATATATATAGCCTTGTGAAGCTAATGGCCTTTGAGATGAAAGCACTCCATTATTCTCTTTGGTAAAAGCAGGCAACATTCAGAGCAAGTTCTCAAGTCGGATGACCTTCAGGAGACTAAAGAGCTGATATTTGCACTTCATCATAAGTCAGGAAAGATGACTCCACTTCCTGATTGCTAAATTTACTGTAAATCCCAAAAATTGTCTTTGAAAAGAAAAAGTCTTCCCGAAAGTTTATCACAACGGAAAATCAAAGTAGTTTATCCTTCCTCTACTCCTACACCCCAAAGGAAAATAATATTCTACCTTCTCATCACAGGGCTCTAGCAACTGTTCCAGCCACTCTGTTGTTTTGGCCCAGACTGTTTTACTTGCTATTGCTGCTTTTGGTCTTGTACATTGCTGACAAAAAGTGCCATAAAATCTCTTTCAGCAATTATCAGAAAACAAATATGCTTAGGTAAATAGTAAGTCTAGATGCAGATTTATATTAAAATAAAAGAAGAAAAGAAGAGAAAAGGCCCTTCTGAGATACCAAGCTCAAGAAAGACTACTCTGTCGTACCTAGTCCCATGGATGTGCCCCATACACTATTATCCTTTTGTTACTATTGCAAGTTATGTAGCTCTTCAGCATGGAGTATGAATCCATACGCATTCAAGTTGCTGAATACCTTACCATCCTGATAGGATGGATGTCACTGCTAACTATTCTTAATTTAATAAAACCTGTTGAAAATAGCAACAAGCAAAAAAAATCATGTCATCTGTTAGAAAAAAAATCTATTTAAAATATATGCTTTGCTTATTTGGTTTGAATCCTCCGAAACACTTGAAGGTCAGTGCCTTAGGAAATTGCTCTTTCTAGCCACTATGTGACAGAAAGAATCTGGCACAAAATATCTTCAGTTATACACATCTTGCAATAGCCACATGTCAATCCAGATTCTGTCCCCAGTTATAAGGTCAAAGCTACTGATATCCACCCTTCAGTTCTGACTACATAAAGGACTAATTATACCCATATGTTCAAGACTGACAAACTTGCAAAGGAAGATTTTACTAAAATAATTACCGGAGAAATAAAGAATCTCAACTTCCCTGAGAAAGCATACACTTCACCTTCAGGCTGTTGACTCAGTATTTCAGCACTGAAAATTAATGGGATGTGTAGACAGCATCAAGATAGGTAGCAATCATAACAAAACAAAGAAATTGACTTGAACGGATCTATAAATGTGCTTTTTTTTTAATATTGAAACTACAAAACAATCTTTGCCGCTTTTAGTTTTTCAGAAAACTGTAGGCTGCCCCATTATATATTATTGAATATTGATCCTCATGACAGTTACCTCACTTCCTAAGGAGAAGCAACAAGAGCCACAGTCCATTTGTACTATGCTTTAAAACTTACTGGTACAGAAATGAAGAGGGTAGCCTCAGTTGCCTACATGTTAACCTCTGCTTGTCTGTCTCCTTCCTAAAGCGTGCAGTTGGGCAACAATGTAAGGACTTCCTGTGTTTTAAAATTAGTATTTACAAAAACCAAAGGAAATGTAATGATGGGTCTTTGCTTTTGGTAATTGCGGGTTGCTCCATCACAGCAGTTTTGCAAGGAAGGAAGGTGGTGAGGGGTAAATGGGGAGGATGTGGCCACCCCATTAAAAGAAAGCCATGGGAAGTTGCCCACTTCAGTGAGAATACTGCTCAGAAACAGCAACATACTTTTGGGATTCAGTACATAGACCGGGTTATTTCCCTTGAGATGCTGGCAAGTTTGTGGTGACAGAAAGCCAACGCACCACATACACTGCAGGATGCGTCAGTGAAAGGTGTTCAGATGGTGGGAGGTCTTAAGGTAATGCTAGTTCCCCTAAACGCTGCACCATCGAAATCCTTAGAAAATAGGATTTCCAATTTATATCAACTAGTACTTTCCCCTCCTCCCCCTCCCCAGCCAGTTTTCCCCCATGTCAGACAGAGAATTCATTGATTAAGAACAGAAATTAAAGCTCAGATTTTGCCATAGGTATAATACCCCTCTAAATATTCAAGGCTGTGATTCCATTCCTGATGAGTACCATGCCTAGTATCCCTAGCTAAAGAACAAGGAGAAACAAGAACCTCAAGGCAGTGACTCAGCCGCTCTCAGCATTACCTCAGAGGCTGGTCTCTTCTCTCTCTACAGGAAAAGATTAGAGCAATTTTCACCTTAAGATAGGCATCTCAGTCAGGTGGCAGGAAGCTGGTCTACCACACTGACACCACAAGCAGGCCCTGGCTACCTTCTCACCCCATCTGCTTTGGGATGGGTGTGCCAGAGATTTTATACTAGTGGTATTTTGGTATGGATGTCTCCTGGAAGAGCGCTGTTTCAAAAAAGACTCTGATAATGGTGAATTTTTCTGAGCAGAGTACATGGAGGACCTTTTGAGAATGTAGGCTCCAACTTTCAACGACTCCTGCTCTTATGTTAGCAAAGCAGTTAGTTGCCTCTTCTTCCCAAGAGTTTCATGCCTCTGGAAGAAATGAAATGAAGTTAGAACAAACAAAACACCCTCAAATTTATTAGCATTTGTCATTGCCTGTTATCAAAGGGATTTTATTTTGTCCAAGAATAACCTCTTGGGCTAGCAATGTCAAAGAGTCTTTGTTGTCTGCACACACAAAATCTGAACTCCACATTTGTAAAACAGCACAACTGATTTTAGCAGCAGCACAATTCTTCGACAATTTACCTGAAGGTGATCATCAGTATTATACATTCATTTTGAGACTTTAAAGAAAATGAACCAATTATCCTGTCCAAGTAGATTTGTACTAGGTCCTACAGTTAAAAAGAACGTATTTCTACTTTTTTTGATTTTGCTGAGAGATAAGTAACATGCAGTGTGATTCTTATAATACTATAATTGTCCAATAATTGTTCTTGTAAGTGCTGCCACATATTTGCTTTTTCTTGAATGGTTGACTTTTTTAACAAATTCTGTCTTTATTCAGCTTAGTAAAAGTATCTGGAGCAGAAAATGCCACCAAGCCTTGTGAGAATTTTCCTATAGACCTTATCTATCATAATCCTTATTATGACAGAGTGCCTATGTTTTGAAAGATGACCAGAAAATGTTGTGCAGTTATTTGTCCTGGATCCCTCATCCTGTAGCTTGGCAGTTATACAATAAACGGTAAATGTGTGGGTTTTCTTTTAATTTTATTTTTATTAGAAATGGCATGGGCTACATATATGACCACCTGAACTTCATTCACTGATATTACTTCAGGCCAAACTATATAATTTTGTGAGATATTAATTCTGGAATGCTTCACTGATTGTTTTGAAGGACAGTCTTTCCCTCCTACCATCAAAAGTGATAGGTGCAATGATGGTCACTCTGACAACCACAGTTCAACAGCAGTTCAAGGGTTTCCATATATTCATGGCTTTATTGTAAGAGTTGGAGGCATTATTAAGTGAAGACAGCTGACAGATGGCTGAAGTTTACCAATCTAGTCAAAACCTCCCAGAGCTTTTAAATATCATTTATATTGTCAGCAACAACCAATAAAGTAAAAAATCAAACCTAAAGCCGTCATATTCCTTCTCCAAAAGCTTTCATTTTCATACGTTCATAATACCCATGAGGTAGAGCACAGACTTTTTTAAGCACTTCTCACTACTGGCAGGTTGTCATCACTGAGGTGAACTGTAAAATAAAATGCAACTAATTAACTTTGACAATGCATTTATTTGATGAAGTATCATCTTGCAAAGTACGGACTCAGTTACAAGACACCTGCTGCCAGATGGAAGCAAAGAAATCATTGTCAATCTGCTCAGCTGCAAGCCTGGTTCAGCCCCTTCCAGAGCACACGTGTGGAGTTTCATCAGGATGGATTAATAACAATCTGCAAAAGCTGAATCAAAACGAGTACATGTAAAACTTTATTAAACTAATTCATATCCACAAAGTATGCCTCTAACTGGAAGTCTCTCATTACTTTGCTTGATAAGTTGGTTCCAATAAAAAATGTATTATATTTAATACATCATCTGGATATAAGTATTAGCATTTCTTTTGAGAAGTGAAATAAATGAGTGACTCTGTATTACATTAACATGTTCACAGAATTAGAGTGAGGTGCCCATGCATGAATTACACAAGACTGGCCAAGAGCGTCTTACCCATCTGCAACTTCAGAGGCACCCCCACTGAAAAAAAGTGCATGTAGAGGAATATCCTCCAAAAATCAAAGAAGCGAACTGAAATGTTTCTGCATTCAGAACAAACTGCAACTAGCACAGAAACAGTATGTTTATTTGCCTGAAATTTTCGGTATGCCTAATGGCGCTCAGTCTGAAATAAAAGAGACAGATAAGTAAATGGCTGCACTCATCCACCTACATCTACACTGAATTTAGCTATTTCAGTCCCTTTACCATGTATCTGTAGCTCTGCATTATGTCTAAGATGGATATTCCATATTCATCCTCCAAAACTACATCTGTTTGCTCTAAAAGCAAATACAAAGTCTAGAAGTATAACAAAAGACGTACTCTGAGAAACAACAAATAACCAAACTGACCCTCTGTGTCAACAGACAGAGGAAATACTACATGTATGCTGTATCTAGGGCTTTGAAAGCAGTGCAGCCTCACTAATGCTATTTTATTTCCCATTGCTCAAGTGTTTATTTTTTGCTATTAAATGTGATGAGGTCCTTGTAATCAAAACCTTTTCCACAAAGCAAGACTGTTCAGCAATTCTGTCAGGCAAAGCACTTTCCACCGCTGAGTCTATTGCCAGTTGTTTTCAATGACACCTCGGGCACCATTTTAATACTGTAGATTTTTAGGAGTGACAGTCTCCAAATTATCACTGTGTTCAATAGCACTTAAACACTTTTCAGTCAGAAGCATGAATGGTTACACCTAACTAAAGCCAAGCTTATCTGCCGTTTCCTATCTACAAGACCACTAACAGATGCCTTAGGAAGCAACAGTGCGGACTGAATGGAGACCTCACTTCTACCAAGTTTCCACTAAGTCATCAATTTTGGGGGCCACTTTTGTGACTCGAGGATCCTCGAGGATCCTCCCCGCCCCATAGGTAGAAACTTGGTATCCTTTCCACTAGATTCACTGCTTTTGAATAAAAGGTACTTCCTACAAAACTGTCTGAAAAATGCCAAATTTTCTTAGTTTGGCAGCTACAATTAGATGGAACAGAAGCTTGGAACAGCTTAGGTGCACATAAAGGCTAAATGTCCCCATGGTAGTTTTAATAGCCCATGGTTTTTGTTGGATATGTGAATAATGTCACAGACTAGAATGGCCACACCTCCTGTGTTCACCCGTATCCTGGAAAGGTTATCATCTTTGGTCCAGACAGCCACAAGCTTTCTAGTCTCCAGTCATCACTGGGGTTGCAACCAAAATTGGAAGATTGCTACCAAATGAAGCGGGAGAGCAACTGTCACAGAACTGCCTAGATGCCACGCTAGCAAACTGAGTTACCAAGTTATTTATCCTGTAACGAAAGGAGTTTGTCCTAGATGTGAGCCAAATTTAACAATGAAAGGAGAAGTTCATTCTAAAATGCCTTGTGTCTGGTTGTTCTGTAAAAGCTCTTACAGCATCAGAGTAAATGCTAACCACAGCAGAAGCAAGCCTTACCTTAATGTTAATGCAGCAGAAGTCTCATGCAGTTTTATTTATTTATTCCTTTGTTCAAGAGATGTCTGGACATACCTAAGGGACAATGAGATTTAAGAATGAAAAATCAGGGTTTGTTCAGTGAACTGCAATGAGACTTGAACAGATAGATCTAGCAAAGAAAGGGCAAATAAATTAGTCAAGCTTCACATGGAGCACTAATAAAGGCTATTTCATGAAATCTGATGAGCTTGAAGGATCTGATCAGTTCAGCATGCATGCATGTGAAACCCACTAGATGGACTGGTTTTGTATATGTTAGTAAATTGTTCCATATTCAAAATACAACCAAGAGTTTATATTCACTTAGTGGAGAACTGGTCATTCTTCATCTGATTTGCTCTTGAGGAGGAAATCTTCACTTTTCTAGAATGCTCCTGCTTGACAGAAAGAAAAAATAAAGATAAATTTCTGAAGAATCATTTAGTTGAGAGGATCGTAAGAAGGAAAAACTCAGAGAATATATCTCAATTCTGCCTCTCCACAGTACTTGCATATTTTTATCTCTAATGACCTCGGTGACAGTGTGCTGTACACATAAAGAATTCAACATTAGGCATTTCAAATTTAAAATAATAATAATTTGATCCACCCTCAGAAGGCAAATTCTGCAATTAAGTGGCAAGCCTGTCTGAGAATTACCTGAGAATTACACAAACAGCAAAGATTCAGAATTCTGCATTTTCTTCACAATAGCTAACCTATTCTCCTCAGAATCATATCAACAACCAGAAGCCACAGGTCGTTTCTGTGGATGTGACCACTATAAGAAAGTGATATGCCTCAGGCTTAACACTTGCAAATAACTGAGCAGCATAGGAGATCAGCACAGAAGCACGAGAGAAAGATTTTTCCATCACTATCACGTTATCAAGCAGGGCAAGAAACTGCTGCTCCATAGCTGCTCTATAGGGCAGAACAACCCCTTGCCTGGTTTATTCCCCCCCGCTTTTTTTTTTTCTTTCTTTCTTTTCCCCCAAGAGAATATCCAAGAGAAATGCTCAAATCCTTGGAAATCAATGCAAAACAAAATTGCATCAGAAGACATCTTTACTCTGCCTACCCTGACTGTGGGCTATTGGTGCCACAGGAGTGCTCAGGAGGGTAAGATGCACAATGCATCAAAGGAATCTCTCAAAGCTCCATTTCTGCCATCCACTAATGTTAACCCACACAAGCAGAAGTCACTACAGCACAGTTACTATTAGCTGAACAATTTAAATGCTGCATGTAGATGAAAAGAGTCATTTCTCCTGTGCTAAAATATGTAATTGAGCATAGCAGCTAAGATACCACCCAGTGGTCCTGAGCAGCAATTGCTAGCTTGTTGGTGACAAGGCTTAATTTGTCACAGAGACTAACTAGCGGAGAGATGTTATTGCTCTCACACTAAAAAAGCAATAATTTTTGTGAAAGTAAAGCACATTACATTTTGGAGCTATATAAATAATGAATACTTTGCTACATTTGTCAAAATACATAAGCATAGTACTCTGAAACACTACAGACCAAGAAAGCCTGTTTTGCATTATTCATATACTCTTAATTCTGCAGCACATAACAAGAACCTTGTCTCTTTGCCCAAAGGATATGTGAATCCCCCAGGAGTCTCCCCCCAAAGCTGGAAGCTCACATGGCAGCAAACTGCAGTGGGCAAATGAGCTCACTGTATCTGCAACATCTTCCCTACCAAGGAGCCCTAAGTTAAAAGAAACTCTTCAGGCAGTCAGCATACTGTGAATGAGGCAATGCTTGGACTGAACAGTGAGATTAACCTTCAGGCAGACCACATGGAAACTCAGGGTGTATTGCCAGGGATTCAGGTGTCCCAATCAGGGATAATGTTCCCTGTCCTCCCATATGCCTTTTATCTGCATTAATGCCCATTATCTGCATAATGACCATTAGAAGGATCAGCTACAGTTCTCTAAATAACTAACAAATTTGTCATTCGCTTTTGAATAAGTTAATAAGTAGAAATAATAAAGTAAGATAAAAATTAAAAAAGAAATTTAAAAAAAGGATTTTCCCTTTTTATTTATTTTACGGTCCAGGAAAATTTGCAGGCTTAACATATTCAATGCACAGATACAGGTCATATTTAGAAGGGATTCCTAAACAATAATGAAGTGTGCCACTTTGCTGCCTGCTTGCCTATCCATTTTTCCTTGCCTGACACTTTTTAAACCATAAGACTCATTTAACTTAATTTTGACAGAAGAGTAAAAATCTCATAAATTCTTTTGAGCTCTCCGAGAATCAGCAGCTAGGCATTTGAAACAAGAGTTTCTCAAACACCTTGCTCTCACCTTGCCATATGCTGCTTAGATTTTACCTTCTTTCGACCACATTTCAAGCAAATCCATAGTACAGCTGCTGAATGGTGCATGGAGTAAAATCTGCTTCACTTTCACAGACGTGTCTAGTCTGGTGAAGACAGTGGAATATGAGAAAGAGAAGTGCAAGACCAAAAAGGGACAACAGATCTCTCCCTATTGTTCCTTATAGTGCAGAATTAGAGTAACTTGAATGACCTCAGCTTTGCACACTCAAACAATTTAATTCTGATTGTAGATTTGTTTTGTATAATTTAATTCATATTGTGATACTTTAAACAAACAAATATGAAATATTTTGGATGCAAGAGGTAACAGATTACCACTACATAATTATATCAAAGACATATGTGAGAGTGCAATCATTGTTCAAAACAACTCCAGGTCTAACACAGTTTTTCTCCAAGTATTTCTTCATAGCTGAATGTTTTTTTTCAGAAAGAGAGGAAATTATGCATAGACTGATAGAGACTAGCATTTGTCTCGAGGCCTACCCTAAATTCCTTGTGGTTTATCAGGAACAGAGAGAGTAGTCTTGAGGTAGTTTCAGCAGGGAATCAATTCAATGTACAATTTTTACCTTCTAACAGGAGCAATAACTTTGAATAAGTTAATTCTGTTTAATTCTTTTGGATATGTCAATTCTTTCTTGCCACAGAAACACTCTTTCAAGACTGTAAGATGATAAGCTGAATTCCCACAGGCAGAAAAGCCTGAGACTACACCACAGAACTCTTCTTCTTTCTTTCTTTGTTTTTTTTTTTTCTTTTTTTTTTCAGGTTTATCTTGGCACTGTGGTTCAGCTAACAGAATTTTGTTTCAGCTGTATGTGGGAAAAATTTCTTTGACCATACCCAAATAAAAACACACCTGGTTTAGACAATACATCTACACCAGGAGTCTTAGAGGATGTGCAAACTGATTGCTTTGTGCCTGGAAAACAAGCAAGCAACTGAAATGTTTGATAACCAAACTCAAAATGTTTAGTCTTCCACATCCTAGAAAGGATATGAATCTTATTCAGGAAATCTCCTGATTGGAAAGCTGGTGGATTTTGAGAGAATCTCAGCAGAACTGAGGTTATTTCATGTCCACAGTATCTGAGAGCCACTGCACCAAGCTACCTCTTAGCTTCACATTATCAATTTGAAACTAGTGAAAAAAAAAAAAAAATGACAGCAAAAATGCTGGGAGAAGGACAAATGCCAGTAGCTGTGTTATTCGGTATCTTTTGTGGAAAAAAAAAGATTTCTACGGTTTTTTAATGGACTTACAGGGGCTCTCAAATGGGATTTGAATGGAAGTGGAAAAAAATACTGAAGATTTTTAAATCTTGAAGCCACCTTTATGTGCTGGACTGCATTTGATCAGGATAACAGATCATACCACAGAGAGACCCCTCTGTGACATTTATCACTTGCTACACAATTCCGACGTTAAGTGACATGTGAACTGAATTTGCATTCATCTTTCTGCACCACTTCTTTTTTGCAAAGGTTCTGGCCATCCTGACTTTTGAGGGGAGCTATAAATGGTATAAAAAGAGAATTTTTTATACTAGACTGACTTGAATTACTTCTAGCTTTGCACCATTTATTTCATATCATCTACCAACTGCCTTCAGACAGGTCCATGTTAACTTGTCTGTTTAACCAGGAACAGCAAATTGAGCAGACTTTCCTCAATTCTTCAGCTTCTACCTTCTGTTTATCAGGGGACAGGAGTGAACATTTTGGAAGCATAAGAGAGAGATGCTCAAGAATCAATCCATTTTCCAGTGGAAAGGATTCTGAAAAGTGATGTTATTAATTAGAACACAACAGCTACTTGCATTCTTCTATCATTACACAGGCTTTTATTTTTATTTTACTTTTTAAGAACCAAAATATCCATGTCTTTGAGGAAATGTTTTCAGCTTTCAGCTGAGGTTGCTTTTTTTTCTCTTTCTGTTCTTTTTAGAAAAAAAGATAGTGATATAACTTTATCTATAAAAGAACAAGAAGTGTCTGAGACCTTGGATAAGGCCACTATCCACACAGAGATATGTGTCTATACTTGGTTTTCTCCTTGTTCTCTAAATACTTATAAACTAACTAGATGAACTAGACTGTCTGTTGCAAGCCAACTCTTCTCTTTTTCTTCTCCCAGTTCAGGAAAACAACTTGTGTAAATCAAAAGATGCAGAAAGGTTGATCACTGACACGGGATACACTTCCTAATCTGCACATGCAATTCATTTCCCTCTGTTTTGCCCATCTGTAAAACAGGAACATTTCTTTCTTCTTCTCCATATATCACATGAAGATAACTTTAAATTTACAAGGCACTTTGAGTCTAGCAGATGGCACGGTCAATGAAAGCACAGAAAAATGTTCTTGCATAGTTTCATGAATTGACTATCTTGGCACCTCAGCCTTTACTTGTATCATCTATAGTAACATCCATGTTATACAATGTTCCATTATAGGAAGGAACAGATAATATTTATTAAAAGCTCCCTCTGGATAAAATGGACTTAAGAAAGAAAAAAAAAAACCTCATTTCTCTAAAATAAGCATATTTTATTATATATTATATGCAGATGTCCAGAGAGTAGCAGTTTGTAAGACCTAAAGAACCATATTGTACATTTTAAAGATGAGAATTACTACTACTTTTAAGCATTAGAATACTCTGGAAATACTAGCTCTAGGCATGAACATTTTATAGCATTATGCATTCACATACCACTATCTACTCGCAAATATGTTAACTTACTAATTACTTCACTATATGTACACTATAAAGGCTACTTTTACAACTCCTGCAATGAGAGGTATTTGGCTGTATTTAAGCCATATTCAGCATGACAAACATGTAGGAAACACTAACCTCCTCTAAAGAAAACTGGGCAACATAAACAACCTCATGAATGTGCATTTCTGAAGCAATAAACATACTCTTAGCTATCAGTCTAGTCAATGAGTTCACATAATAAAGGTATTTAGAATATGAAAGTTTGGAACAAAAATTCTACATCATCTTCTGCAAACTTTAGTTAAATT